ATTTTATAATTTTCATGGGGCACTTACTGTTCTTAAATACTCGATAATATATTCTTTTGAGTACGAATTTAAATTGTTTTATACAACAATTAATATATATAAAAAAAAATCTGCAAAATTTACTAATCCTGATTAATTCATGGTTAAATAAAAATGAGAAAAAAAAACAGAAAAAAAATAAGGATGAAAAACCGCAATTTTTATCGATTTTTTTGTTCTTTTATTCGGATTTTAAAAATAAAATCAATTTATATTACATAATACAACATTTATATTTGCATATATACATATGTATAGGTATATAAAAGAGTTAATATTAAATCCATTAAAATTAATTCAATAAACTAAAAATGCGGTAAAGCTATTATTGAGGGATTTTAAATTTTTCTTGTTTTTGTTTTCGTTTTTATTATTATTAAATTTTATATTAATTATAAGTAATTTTGGGGAATTATTGTTATACATATGCAATTATTATTTAAATTGAATTAATAATAAAAAAAAAAAAATAAATTCAATATAAATGATATTAAATGACATTTATCCGGATAATAGCGTCCTTTTATTTTTATTCAACATAAAAGCCTGTACAAAGTTCTCTTATACTTGTATAAGAGAAGTTGAAATTAATGATTATTTACAGTGGTAAAATTATTTTGACAAAAATTATTCAACATTATTATTGCATTCTTATTGTTTTTTTAATAAATCAATGCACGATTAATTAATAAAAATTGAAAATACTGCAATTTACGCAAATTGAAATAATTTTGATTTTAATAGGATTGAGGTGAGACTAAAGTATATACTTCAAATAAAAACCAAAAGACAATTGATTTTAAAATATTTTAATGAATTTAAAAAAAGGATATACAAGACCTTATTTTTAGAAATAAAAAAGTTGATGAAGATTAAAGTAATTTAATTTACAATTTTACAATTTCGACATTGAAATATTTGAATAAACAAATTTTTGATTTGAATAAAAGGATAGCAGAAAAAATTTATCATACCAGAGTAATTTGAGGAAATAGCAGTATATAATTAAAAAAGTTCTATTTAAAATAAGTAAAATATCCTTTCTTAATTGAACAAAATTGGAGTGAACAAAATTTAAGTGAATATTCAGAATAAAATATTTGAAAAATTAAAAGTTTTTAAGTGCAAATTTTATTACAGTTTCATTGAAAAAAATTTAAGTATCCGGCCATAATTTTATTGAAACAAAAATCTTATACATAATAAATTCAGTGTTGTCTCAGAAAAGTTCATATCATAATGTTCATATAGCCTACTATAACATCTAATATTAACATTAAATCTAAATTTTACTGCAATAATTCATTAATTTTATAGGCAATGCCTTAAATTTCAAAATTCACAGAAATCCCTAATTTTGGACAACTGTAACTTGTCTTACCATTTACAATGCTTATGTTTGACTAAGAAAATTTTTAATAATTCGAACTACTTCCCTGCCCAACCAGTATTTTATCTATTTTCAAATACAAAATTTTCATTTATAATACAAATTTACTAATGTAGTTTTTTTGAATAAACAATAAAATATAAATTTTTTAAGTAATTACAATTTAATTTCATTTTCAGCAAAAAAAAAATATTATTGTTGTCTTTAAATTTTTCATATTTTAAAGACATTTTAATTTTCTTATAATATTGTTTTTATTAACTATTTCATTCTGTTTAACATTTTTTATAACAACTTTTTATACATATACAACTTTAATTTTCTCTAATAACAACTTCATATTTTATATAAAGGACATTTTGTGTGGTTTGTGTTAAAAATGAAAAATTCTCTACAATATTAATTTTTAATAATGTCTCTTTTCTCTTATATAATAAACACTTAATCTATAGTATGTACATGTATTCAGTAATAATATTAGAGAAATATAAAAATTTTTTACAAGATTTTCAAATTATTATTGTTTAAACATAATAAATTTATTTCGGTATGTTTTTTTATGTTCCTTTTGAGTTATATAACAAAGTAACGAATTTTCACACAATTTTCTTTATATATACAATATGGTGTGAGTGTCTTGTATATTTAAATTATGTACATATAAAAAATATTATAAGAAATGAACATTGTTGAAAAAAAAAAAAACTATTATTATCTGAATTGAAAAAAGAAAATAAGAGCTCAGCAATATTACAGAATAACAGTAACACTACATTACAACAGCATAAAGAGAGAAAACAAAAAATATTCATAATAAAAGAGATGGGCTCTTAAAAAATCATTTAGTATGGAAAGAAAAGCATGCATTGCCATGTTTTTGATCCTCTCTTTATATTTTTATACCCCTACGAACGTATGTTCGAAGGGTATACTAAATTTGCCTTACCGTTTGTAACGCTAAGAAATAACGGTCTTAGATATAGACTCAAGTGTATGTTTTTGATCAGCGTCAAATTCTGAGTTGATTTAGCTTTGTCTGTCCGTCCGTCCGTCCGTCCGTCCGTCCGTCCGTCCGAACGATAATTCAAAAACTAATTGAGCTAAGTTCACCAAATTTTCACAAATGATTTATTGTACTAAGTGCCAGAACCCTATTTAAATTGGACAAGATCGGGGTATCGGTTCGGGTAGCTGCCATACAACTTCAAAATTTATTTGGATATATCTCAGAAACTATAAAAGCTATGGTATTGAAATTTCACACAAATGAATATATTAATAGGGCCAATGTGTCTGATAAAAGTCGTTGAAATTACTTGGCTCCTTCTGGTACCTGCCATACAACTTCAAAAGTTATTTGTCTATATCTCAGGAACTATAAAAGTTATGGTATTGAACTTTCACACAAACAAATATATTAGTAGGGCCAATGTGTCTGATAAAAGTCGTTGAAATTACGTGGCTCCTTCTGGTACCTGCCATACAACTGCAAAAGTTATTTGGCTATATCTCAGAAACTATAAAAGCTACGGTATTGAAATTTCACACAAGCGAATATATTAGTAGGGCCAATATGTCTGATAAAAGTCGTTGAAATTTCTTGGCTCTTTCTGGTAGCTGCCATACAACTTCAACAGTATTTTGGCACAGACAGTATTTTGAAAAACACATTGTACTGAAATTTTGCATAAATTAATATACGGCAACTCCATAGTCAGTTATGGCATCTTTATTCGCACATAGGATAACAAATTCGTACGGGTATCACAGAGTTGACAAGGTCAACTCTATTTTTTTCTCGTATTTTTGTTGCTGTTGCTTTTTACATAGTAAAATACATTTATGAACAAAAAAAAAAATATGAGAAATTATTTTATATGAATATTGCTTTGTTGTTATGTAATTTTTTTTGTTTGTGCAAACGTTGCTTTCATTTTTCTTTAAAATTTATACACCTGAGAATCTCATATATACTTCAAATCTGATTACTTCATCATGTCTCATCTTCATTTTACTTTTACTTTTTTTTTTATTTTTTTTCGATTTTTTGAAAATTTTATAATATTTGTACGTAGGTATAAGTTACTCATATAATATTAGATATAAAAGATAAAGTTTTTTTTTATTCATTTCACTTACTTGAACTTTTGTTATATAAAAAGAATATGTTGCCTTATAATGTTAAATATTAAGACAAAAGAATAAGTGTAAAATAGTTGCCATAATAGTTTTATTTTTTCGGGTTCCTGATATTCGATTAGATTGAGGAAGGGATATTGTGTTAAAAATATTTACAACAATAAAATTCTATTAGCTCTTAAACACTGTACAATAACATAACGTAAGGTTGAGTAAGATTAATTTTATTGAGCAACACAATGTTCTAGTTACATAATTCACCCTCATAAGAAGATGATTTTCAAAAAATAATCATAATTTCCGAACAACACTGTTGCTCAAATAATTATTAAACCATATTGATAAAAGGCGAAAATAATTATGGGTTACAGTAATTTACAATGATTTACTTTTATTCCCTTCTTCGCATTAAGGACTGAAATCTAATAGATTCTTACATTTTAGGTGACATTAATTAAAATTTGTCAACGAATGTTATGCAATAGTTCTAGTTTTAATTTCCGAATGAATTGAAAAAGCATAAAAATTATTATTAGAAAAATTTGAAAACGTTCATTTATCTTCTATGGCAACACTTTTATATTGAAATTTTATATGCTTTCTTTTTTTTATATATCATTCAGATCATCATAAAATATATAAACTAAAGATTTATATAAAATAAAAGCAAAACAAAAAATAATATGTAAATTATTGTTATGTAAGTAAAATTTGATACTTTGTTTACTCTTTTGTTGCTTTTAAAATGCAATTTTACTTCTTTTCAATAGAACTTGTTACTATCTAAGTGATTTTTGTTTTTTTCGTTTTTTTTTTTGTTATGTTACATTGTCTCGATGAGTGTTTCTATATCTTCTATATCTTCTATATCATATAATGAACATACGATGTAGAAAATACATCAAAAGATGTTCAAAATTTCTCTTTTTTAAAGATTTTTTTAAAAAAAAAGTTGTGTAAATTATTTTTAAGGGTCTTTGTATATTTATACTTTTAGGGGACTTTAAAAGTCTTTAATATTTTCAATATTATACGAAAACAACTTGAATTTACATAAATCAAGGACATATCTTGAAAAATTTCCCTTTTTCCAATGTATTAGAGGAAAATTTCGTTTTTTTCCGATAAAGAATATTAAAATTGATTACAAAATCACTTAAAATACTTAATATACTACTTAAAGATTTTTGTTTAAAAAAAAATATTGTTTTCATTATAATAAGATTGTCATGCAATTGAAAATCAAATTATGTAAATATTTTTATATTACTTGAATAATTCAAAATAATAACTATTATGTTATACAAGAATAGCGTATAACTTCAAAATACTATATCAACTTGGGAATATTTGTAATTTTTAAATGATTTTATTTGAATTTTTTTATTTTTATAAAATTTTACAATTTAGAATATAATAAAAAATTACTTACTTTCATATATTGTTAAAGTCGCCTCTGATGATACAGCATCACCAACACCATTTTCAGCAACACATTCATATGGTGCATCATCACGTCCAGCTCTAACTGGTTCAATTCTTAATATTGATATACCACCTGATTCAATCACAGTATATCGACTTTGGGAAACTGTAATTCAAGTATATTAAATATATATTACATATATATATACAAATTAAGTATAAGTCTATTATTTAAAATTATGAGATATTCAATGTTGAGTTTAATAATGTAGCTACTAATAAAAAAATATTGTTATATAGTTTGCTGAATGTTGAATATTACAACATAGTTAAATTGAAATTTAGGAAAAATTACTGTGAAAAAAATCAGCGTCACATTTGAAGTTTTCGTTGTATATCTAAGTCTTTTAAGATTTCAAAATATTATTACAATAAAAATTAATAGCAAAAACAGAAAAATTCAAAAATAATATTAAATTAAAAAATTCAATTATTTTATGATCGAACAACAATCTTAAATAGACAATAAAATATATGTAGATAGTAATTGCTGTGACGATCAATATTACTTAATTTTCTTGCGCTCAAAAATTTAACAACAAATTCTCTCGATCAAACAAATTATTTTTATAATTTAAGAATTAAATAAAAAAAAAACAGTCCATTTCATTTTCTCTTGTTTGCATTACAGATCTGCTCAAATTTGTTTAAACTCTCTGGGAAAATATTAATAAGAGCAATATTTTACATGATTTAAATTTAACAGGTCTATTATAACAACTGTAATATTAAAAATTACAAGCACATGTAACTTTAGTGTCTCATTTTAAAATAAACCAAATAAAATTTAACAATATTTTTTTATAATATAAAATTTTCTCTCATAATAAATATTTCTCTCAGATTATACTTTAAATTTTTTTTTAATTTAAATTAAAATTTTACCTGAAACTTTCTTTCCATTTTTACGCCAAACTATTGATGGTGGTGGATCACCTCTAGCTGCACAAAAGAAACTAGCAACACCACCAACTTTAACTCCTTGATTTTGTGGTTTTTTAATAATTTCCGGTGGATCTATAAATAAAAGAGATAAAGAAAAATATAAATTAGTATTTTTTTTTTCTTCAACTCTCTTATAATTTTTAATAAGTCGGTAAAATACAAAAGAAGAAAAAACTAATAGAAAGATGAATTTAAAATTTTTAGCGCAAATAGCTTTAATTTTAAATTTTCATTTCAAAACTGGAAGAAAATTATCAAAGAATTTCAATAATCTTCTTTCAGTTCTCTCTTATTTAAATAAATTTGCACAGTAATCGATCAAATAACGAAAAATTTCAACGATGAGATCAACAGGAATAACAAAATCACTTCATATTGAATAAAATTTGAATTCGAAGTTTTCATTTTTATTTCCTTAAAATATTTTTTTTTCTTTGCAATTTGGATAAATAAGCGAAAAAGGATGAAAATAATGTGGGAGAGAACAATGCTCTTAAGTTTTTAAAAAAAAAAAAATAACCAAAAATTTTTGGTTTTTTTTTATTCTTCACACTTATATTCTAGATTTTTCTTTAAAGGTTTTTCCTTTATTTTTATCTTAGTTGGTTTCTGAATCAAAATAAATTTTCTTATTTTTCATTTTTGCTACTCTATCTTTAGTTTTTTTAAAGTAAAAGTTGAATATTTCTTTTGTGTTGTTTTTTCTTATATAATTTTTATCCTTGAAATTTTGATACTACCAAAAAAAATTTAAGAAAAACAAACCAGAGAGAAAAAAAAAACACACACAAAATACCCGAAATAATTTTTCCGTTTTCATTCATTTTTTGTTTTCATTTATTTTGCCACAGGATCACAGAGGATATTCCGCTATTCCGTTTTTTTTTCTTAATTTTTTTTTCCCGTTTTACTTCTTATTTTTATTTTCTTAACTATGTTTCGCTTGTTATGATAAAAATCTATCGGAAAATCCTTATTTAATTTCGACTTTAGAAAATAAATCCTTTTTATTAAACAATTTATTTGTTCTGCTAAACACCAAAATAACAAAAATGAGAACAGAAAAAAAATAAACACAGAAAAATACCAAAATAAAAAAAAAAACTAACAAATTTCAATAGAAAAAATATAGAAAGGATCAAGTTTGGAAATTGTGTAAAGACCTAAAATTTATAAGGAAAAAAGATAATTTTTGTTTTTCTTATATTTCTTTTAACAAAATTTAGATATAGAAAGGATATCAGTCAGCTACAATATGTATATATAGTTAACAAGAATATAATGGGAAATGAAGAAAAAAAAAGAAAAAATTTAGAAATACGAGTTGAAATAAATTTGTTAGAAGTAGATAAATTGGCTATATTTGAAGTAGGATATATGAGGTTATCAAAATGTAAGATTTAAAAAAAAAAAAAACACCAGGATAGTGAAAATTTAAACACTTGAAATCAAAAGTTTCAAACAAGAATCGTAACTAATACCATAGTAAGAGGGTCACTACGGGATATTATTAAGATATTCTTAAGGATATGTTGTTAAAATTCATTCTTTAAGAATGAAATAAAATTTAAAATTTCATTTAAATTAAAATATAAATTTGATACACAAAGTTTTACTGCAAGAGAAGTTTTAAATTTATTCTAATTTAATGAAGATTTTGTACATAATATGAGCAACAAATATATTATTATTTAAATTTTAATTTGTGCTTAAATTTCTAGTATGATTTTGATTTAATTGATTATACCTGGAATATGGTACACAATCCTATAAATTTTGCTCATTTTCCGTTAAATATGTTTTTTGTAAAAGCCATTAATAATATCAACGCACACTGTCAAAGGTAATTCAAAGGTACTTAAATTTATATTTAACACGTTCCCTGTCCGCTGAGCACTGATACGTTCCTGAACCATATGTGCGTCAGGGGGTATATAAAACTTCTAAAGCAAATTATTCGACTGGACGTAACGGAACTGTACAGTTTCTGCACTGGACTTGCTGGTACGATAATAAAGTAAACAAAAACGCCGGGACATACAAAAAAAAATATTTTTTAAATTTTGCATTTTTGTATTGAGACAGGGGGAACGTATTAACAATTGTTTTTTGGAACAAATAAGTCAAAAATCTTAAAAGAATTTGAAACATGGCTTAAATGTTATATCTATAACTTTCTAATGATATTAATATTAAGCACAATATTTTTAAGTATCTACATCTTTATTTAATTACCAAAAACCAAATGTATTACAAATTCAGTAAAATTAATTACCAAAACAATTTTTACATTGCACAAATGAAAGAAAATATATCGAAATTTTCTTTTCTATTTTATTTTTTTATTTTAGTTACGAGTATACGCGATCTTACCCCTAATGGACTACTTTAAATTATGGGCTTTAATGATTTTCACTTAACAAAATATCAAATTAATTTCATTTTAATTTTAACTCAATTAAGAAATATCAAAAATTAAATTTTTAAGAAATTTAATAAATAGTTTTTGAAAATTAATTTATTAAACAGAATAATTACTTTAAATGACACTGCAATCGGGAAAATTGTACAAAATAGTTAATATTTTTCATTTGAAATGGTATTCAAAAATTAAATTAAATTTGAATTCAAATAGTTTTCTTTTTATACTAATAAATAATAATATGATTTGGATATTTTTAATAAAAAAAAAAAAGAAAATAAAAAATAAAATAGTTTTTTTTTTCAAATATTTTATTAAATCAAAAAATCATTTCCCATATTGCAAAATATGAGATTCTAAACACGAAAATATTCAAATTTTCTTTTACAATATTCCTATATTTAATTCATTTCCTTTCTTTACAGGACCGGTGAATATAAAAGAAAACCAAAGATTTTATTATTATTATTTTTTTTTTTTTTGTTTTTCTTTATAATATTTAAAATTTCCTATTAAAATTCAAAGATGTCATAAACTTTTAATATTAAAACAAAATAGTAGAAAAAAATTTTTTTTTTCTGTTATAGAGAAAACGTAAACTTTTTTTTTTCTTTATAAAAAAATATCACGTACAATATAAAAGAATTAATAATAAACAAGAAGAAGAAGAAGAATAAGGAAAATATTAAAAAAACACAACAACAATAAAATAATTCTTTTTTTTTCTAATAAAACTATAAGAAAATGTTTTTGATTTTTTTCTTATATTTTTTAAATTTTTCTTTTGTTTTCATTTAAATTTCCATTAATTCTATGAGGCTCACAAATTTTTTTTTTCGTATCATTTTTTTTTTTTTTGCATATACACAAAATAATATCATCCCTTATATTCAATGTTTATGTAATATTGATGGAGGGAAATAAAATCCAAAAATAAAAGCGGTCTACTGCTCGAAACAGATTCGAAAATTTATTAAGGATTTTTGACTCTTCCATAAAAACAATTAAATTTAAGATTTAGATATTTTTGAAATTTTTATCTGTTTTATATTATTTTCGGTTTTATTAAAGCCCAAAATCATCTTGTAATTATTCACCTTTTTTAAAAAACTCTTAATTTTTTTCAGATTTTTAATAAACTCTTAATAATTTCAGAACTCTTAATTTAACAATAATATCTGCATTAATAAACGAAAGAATAAAATTGTCGACAAAATTTATACAGGAAAATTAAGTCAAAATTTCTTAAATTATTGACTTTAGGTCAAAATCGAATTATAAAAATATAAATTTTTTTAATAATAATTTTTCTTTAATAATAAACATCAACTGTATGAGTTTTGTTAAATTTGCCTTTCTCTCTTTAGTAGTGCGTTTCAATGAGCTTTTTCTGGAGAGTTAATCATCAAAAACTTTATCTTTTAAATTAATTTAAATTTAGCATTTAGGTAGAAAAATAATACCCATAGATTTAAAACTTGTCTATAATTCTCATTTAAAATTACAAAAAAAAAAACAAAAATAAATTCAACACTCAACAGTCTCTTATTGAGAAAATCAAAGATGGAAAAAGAATAAGAGATTCAATTTAAATTTTATATTCAATTAGAGAAAGTAAAAAATTTAAATGAGAAAGAGAAATACGAATTTCTTTCTGTAGACAAATCTCTATTAAATTCTAAAGTTTTAAATTCTTTCTCTTTTAAATTTTGAATTTATATTCTTGCTTGTTGTCCTCTTGCATTTAAATGGTGTAAATTCCTGTAAAATTATTTACAGACATCTCTCATTTAAAATTCGTTGCTCTAAATTTTTTTTTTTATTCGTCGTTTACATTCTTCTCGTCTATGTTATTTCTCTCTTAGTATCCGTGTTATTTTAAAACAATGAATTAAAATTCAGATCACAAATCAATCAAACCTAATATGAATTTTGCTTTTTTTACATTTTTTTGAATATTTTTCTTTTTCTCTTTTTTTTCTTTTGGTTATGTTATATTTTAACTTTTGAATTTAAAATTCTATGTATATGTATTTAAATTTATAACTAACTATACCTATGTATAGCAAAACCTCGTAGTTGTATAACATGTAAAATAATAAGGATCATATTTCTTATCGTATAATAACAATAATACAGAAAAAAAAATTGAAACGAATAAATAAATAAATTCTGACATAAAAAAAAAATATATGGAAATTTTAAAATAATACTGGACATAATTGTAATAGTATGTATATAGTAGCATTTCGTCGTTATCGTTACAAATACAATAAAATGTTGAAAGTCCAATGCGAAAAAAAAATTTTTGGAATAGAGATATGGAAATGACACGCACACTGTGTACTCGTATTGAATTACATTATTTGAATGTATAACAGATTTTTATATTATAGAATAAAAAAATATTCAAATAAATTCTGAAATTTTTATGTATAAATATTATGTTCAAATTATAAGTAAAATTTTATAGCAGGAAATAGATAGATAGAAGATATTTTACTTTAACTTCTTTTTTTGATGAAATTATTGAATGTAGTGGAGAGTATAGAGAATATGAGGTTAAAATGTATAAGTTATCGTAAGGAACACATTCTACTAAGGTTTGGTTTTAAATTAAATAGAAGAAATTTTCAAAATTTTAAAGAAATTTGATAATACAAAACAAGAAATTTATTGAAAACGAGAAAAAAAATAGAGTTGACCCTGTCAACTCTGTGATACCCGTACGAATTTGTTATCCTATGTGCAAATAAAGATGCCATAACTGACTAAGGGACACATTAATTTATGCAAAATTTCAATACTGTCTGTTTTTCAAAATACTGTGTGTGCCAAACTACTATTTAAGTTGTATGGCAGCTACCAGAAAAAGCTAAGAAATTTTAACAAATTTTATCAAAAACATTGGCCCTAGTAATATATTCGCTTGTGTGAAATTTCAATACCATAGCTTATATAGTTTTTGAGATATAGCCAAATAACTTTTGAAGTTGTATGGCAGGTACCAGAAGGAGCCAAGTAATTTCAACGACTTTTATCATACACATTGGCCCTACTAATATATTCGTTTGTGTGAAATTTCAATACCACAACTTTTATAGTTTCTGAGATATAGCCAAATAAATTTTGAAGTTGTATGGCAGCTACTCGAACCGGTACCCCGATCATGTCCAATTTAAATAGGGTTCTGGCACTTACTACAATAAATCATTTGTGAAAATTTGGTGAACTTAGCTCAATTAGTTTTTGAGTTATCGTTGGGACGGACGGACGGACGGACGGACGGACAGACAAAGCTAAATCAACTCAGAATTTGACGCTGATCAAAAACATACACTTGAGTCTATATCTAAGACCGTTATTTCTTAGCGTTACAAACGGTAAGGCAAATTTAGTATACCCTTCGAACATACGTTCGTACGGGTATAAAGAAGTGGGGATATTTATTTTTCCTAATTTTGAAGAGATTATTAAATTATTTATTATATAAATTGGTGAATGAAATAGCAAAAATTATTATTTAACGAATTCAATTTTCTATAATTAGTGAATGATCAAATATTTTGGAATTAGTTATTAATGAAAAGGTAATCGTTGTTTAATTCTAAGGATCATGTACGAATCAAACTCACAAGTATTACATAATGTTCTTAATAAGATTTCATAAGTAATATAATAAATAAAATCGCTTTATTAATAACACTATTACATTTAAACAACATTTAATATTTTAAAATTTCGAATTACTTAGTTTACAATAATTCGAAATTTTTATTAATAAATTTTTTACATATTCTTAGAATTTTTCAATAAATTACTTTGTTCTAGAAACCAATAATTGTTAGTATAGAACCCAAATAATTTTTTATTAATTCATTTTATAAATTATTTTTTAAATTTTAATTATTTTTACAATTTAAAATTTTAAAATTTTCACATTTATTTTGCTTATTTTCGTAGCAATTAATTGAAACTTACGTGTTAAATATTGTATATATGGAAAATCTGAGAAATTTCCATCTGCAACAATGTACATATTTATAACATATAACATAACAGATAACAGCAACATTATGTATATTAATTTTTCATTCATATTTTTTATTATTTTTAAATTAATAAAAATTTTGATTTATATTGTTAATTAAATTTATTTTTTAATTGTTTTTTTGAATATTGTTTTTTTTTTAGTTTTTAGTTTTCATTTATTTTTTTTTTGATTTTTTGTTATATAATTAAAATGTTTTGTAAATCATTATTTTTTGTTGTTTTGTATATATATGAAATTTTAAAATTGATATTATAAATTAAAAATTATTAAGATAATTATGTTTATATTCAAATTAATAATAAAATAAATGATAAATTAACAAAAAAAAAAAGAAACTAATAAAATTATTAAAGAAAAAATAAAATTAAATTTAAAATATTGTATATAAAATTTAATGCATATTTTGCACGTACTAACATTTGCATGATTTCGAATAAAATATTTTGGAGTATAAAATATATGAATGTTAATTTTATTGCTGGACATTCATTGGTTGTAAATCATTATAAATAATTTTTAATATATGTATGTAGTTTGAATTTAATTTATAGCTTTATAATATCTATATCAACAAGTATATAGATAGTTTATTACTAATATTTTGTTATATTTTACATATGTTTAAGTATAGGAATCCATACATTAAATTTCACAAAATATAAAAACAAATAAATTTGTTTTGAATAAAATTTGTAAATTTTAACCTTAATTTATTGATAAATTATAGGTATATACATAATATGTGGGTAAAGAAATATTTCGAAATTCAGTATTTTTTTTTAATAGTTTAATAAGGAAATAAAATGATATACTGGAATGTATTCGACAAACAGTCATAGTCTTTATTTAAATACAAAATCTTAATATAAACTAAAATTGAATTCAAATTTATAAATTATCAAACCTGAATTTTATGTTAACTATGTTTAACACTTACTTTTATTATACATATTTAACACTTATGAAAGTGTTATAACAAAAATTTTACTCTTCATCTCATAATTCTCTTTCTAATTGATTTTTGTTTTAATACAGATTTTAATACATATAGTAGTTAAAAGTATAATATTTTCTGAATTTTCTAATATTTTCTGAATTAGAAATCTCAATTCATGAATTCTCATTGCATACAAAAAATAAATACATAAATTTCTCAGGAAAAACCTTGAAATTCCATTAATTTGATTTATCAAAATATTTTCATTTCTACTCTTAAAATTCCTCATTAAATTTCACATTTAATGAAAAAGTTTTTATAATAAATTTATTTTTTTGCATATTTTCTTCCTTAATTGAAGATCTTTTCTATAAATAATAAACCAATATTAAAATTTTTTTTTTTTTTCCTAAATTGTATGTATAATTAAAATTCAATAAATTTGCTGAAGAAAGAATAAAAATTTTATATTTAAATTTAAATTCAGGTTAATTAAATTTCATTTTCTTTAATAAATTTTCAATTTAATTTTTATTTTTCATTTTTGGGTCATAAATGTATGTGTATACATTATTGTAAATGACATTATATTTTAAATCCTTAAAATTTATCCTTTTTGTACATTTAGATCTGTTATGTCTTAGAGTAATTTTTATCTATACGTAAGTATGTATATTTGGTTTAAATTAATATTATTTTACATTTAGTCATGTGAATAGAGAAAAATCTAGATATTTGTTTTTATTTTCATTTCAGTTTTACTTTAATTAATTCAATAAAATATTAAATTTAAAAAAATAAATTTATACAAAATAATAAAATTTTTATAAAAGAAATATTTATCTTTTAACTTATTCATATAATGTTATTCCTTATATATTTTATTATATACATTAATATATAAATTAAATATAAAATATTCAATGTAAGTACATAAATGAATATGAGTGCATGACTATTTAAATGCAATGAACCCTATCTAAAGAACTGGTTTAATAAATGTTCTTAAAAATGTAAACCTAGAACAAAAAATATTATAAAAAAAAAATTTGTTTTTCCTGTTAAGTTTTTATTGGTTTAAAAAAGAATTATTTTAAATTGAAAGAGAAAAAATATTTGTACACATAGGATAAAAGGTATATGTTAAATATATAGAATAATTTTAAGTAGCATACAAGGACAAACTATTAAGGATACTAATTTACTAATTCCAGTTCATTAAATTTAAATAAGTGATAATATTAAGTATTTTGTGCTTACGTTTAAAGAGTGGGAAGGGTTTGGACTATGTAACTATTAACTTACTTAATTTTAGTACAATTTTAAGAAAATTTTAAAAGTAAATCCTTTTTTAAATGACATGTAATAGAAAACAAAATTTTCCAAAATATCTCGTTTTCAATAGTTTTTCATAGGAATCTAAAAATTAATATAATTTCATTCCTAAAAGACATAATTCGATTTTTCGTTTCGAATGGCATTCTCCAACAATTATTTGACTGCGTTCTTATATAATTATTTTTTTAACTTTAATATTAATTGAAATTATGTGACTGTTTAGTTCTTATTCAAAACTACATTAATTATTGTGGTTGTATAGGAATTTATGGCCTGACTATTGGTACAGTGGTTATATTATCGTTATGGCACAAGTCCTTAAACCGAAGAGTCTCAGTTTTAAATCCCGTTCAGGTCACTACAAAAATTATATTTAATATTATAGCTTAATATATTATAAATACTTATATAAAATAAAAAATTACTGCACAAGTAATTTTCATATATTCATAATATTTAAATTTTTATATAAACAACGAGAAATAAATAATTAAATATTAAAAATACCTCAAATATTTAATATAAAGAAAAAAGACTCCGGTAGACTAGTCATCTACCTAGTTAAAAAACTCTAAAACGCAATGAAACTCGGGCACAGGCTATCTCTAATATCATGTATTAGCCCTATGATCCTCTTAGCAGTAAAGGCAAAAAAAAAATAGGAATTTCTGAAATATGCAAATAAGGGTCGTTGAATTAAAACCAATAGAATTTTAATTCTCTTTAAAATCTTTTTGATAGACGAACTCCAAAAAAACGGTATCGCTCAGATATAATACATAAGTACCTTTGCATATATATATAAAGCAATTTTTTTATTATATCCAAAAATTTATTTCAATTATTCAAAACGTTTATTACAATTTTGTCATTAATTTCTTTTTATATTGTCAAAAAAAATTGTATTCTATATTTCAGTTGATATTTTGACATAGTAATAAAGTTGTTTATAAGCGGTGTCACATCGAAAACAATTATTATTATCCCAGTATATGTAATATACACGCGTCTACATTATTATAGAAGTAAAACTAGAATTAACTTTAGTTTATATAATAAATTTTAGCAAATTCAAGTGACATTTTTTGACATAATGACAAATAATATTGTACACGAATAAGATAAGTTCAAAATATAAATCAAGATACACTAATGCATACGTATGAAAATATGTTCAAAATACAAAAAAAAAAAAAAATCTCAAAATAATAATTGTAAATCTGAAGATCTATATGTCATACAATTTAAAGTTAATAATGATGATGACAATTTGCAGTAACCATATCTTAATTTTCAATAGCTTCTTTCATTGTTTATAAAAATATTTTCGCTCTTTATATTTTGAAACAAGCGATGTCCAAATAGATAATTAATAATAAAAATAAATAATAAAAAAATTGTATTGAAATCATTTATCAAATGTACAAACACAATGCTGTACAAATCACATACGGGCACGTTAATTTTTCAACTTGATCCTTTAAACATAAATGAAAAATTATAATTTTAGTCTCAAGAAATGAATATCTGGTTTCAAAATGAGCAATTATATTGTACTTAGTTTCTGAGTTGACAAGTGTCATTAGCCTGTGTAATAACCTTAGTTATATATGCAATAGAAAATATTTAAGAGCTTAAATAAAATATTTAAAATTCATTCGGTCGATTAATGGTAAGCTTTCATGTAATTCATAATATTTTATGTTAATGTATGTGTGTATATTTATAGGTTTAGGTAAACATAAAAACCTATAATATATGGATAAGTGATTCAAGATTTTGCAATTTTATTTTATGAAAAAATCGGGATATTATAATTCTTATAAGAATCCTTAAAAGAATTCACTCGTTACAATAAAATGTAAAAAATGTATTGTAATTTCAATAATTTTAGTAAATTCTGAGCCGCATGTAATATATATAAAATTTTTCAATTCTTAAAATATTTTAGTCTCATATATCACAATCATTACTCATTTTATCATGTAATTCAATTCTTTAACAAAAAAATGAATAAGGTTAAAGTAAAACGAGAAAAAATAGAGTTGATCGTGTCAACTCTGTGATACCCGTACAAATTTGTTATCCTATATGTGAATAAATATCTCATAGCTGATGGGACAGACTATCACTTTAAGTTGTCATATTACCACACTATTTTTTCAAAATTTCAGTACTGTGTTTTCAATGTTCTAAGATATGATCAAACTACGATTGAAGTTTTATGGCAGCTACCCGAATCAGTTCCCCGATCATATCCAATTTAAATAGGGTTCTGGCATTTACTTTAATAATTAATCATTTATGTAAATTTAGGTAACTTAGCTCAATTAGTTTTTGAGTTATCGTTGGGACGAACGAACAGACAAAGCTAAATCAACTCAGAATTCGATCCTGATCAAAAGCATACATAATTTAAACCATAAATCATTTCAACATCTTTAAAATATACATTTAAAAAAATTATTTTAATTTTGTTTTTAAACAATTTCAGGAATCTAGAAATTGTTTTAATCCCCAATTTCAAAATAATGTGAGTATCAAAATTAAAAAATATTAAAACATAAAACTGTGCAAAGGAATATGCAAAAATTTGTGAGGCGTAGTAAAATTGTGACACCATTATTGCTGGAACACAAAAAATTTTAAGTCAGAAAATAATTTAATTTTTTTTAAATTTTAAGAATTTTGTAAGAATA